GGTAGTTGTTGTAGTAGTAGTAGTAGTAGTAGTAGTAGTAGTAGTAGTAGTAGTAGTAGTCGTAGTAGTAGTAGTAGTAGTAGTAGTAGTAGTAGTAGTAGTAGTAGTAGTAGTAGTCGTAGTAATATTAATAATAAAAGTAGGAGGAGGAAGAGGAGGAGGAGGTGGAGGAGGAGGAGAACGGGGGACGAGGACGCTGGCCGACAGCGCCGCACGGCAAATGGGGGCGTGAGTGAGCAAAGAGGACAGAGGAGGGATGAGGGAGGAGAAGGAGAAGAAGGAGAAGGCGGAGGATGATACGGAGGAAGCAGGAGGATCGTCTCGAGGCCGCTCCATCCTCCCTCCTTCAACCCTTCCATGGTTGTTTCCCCTCCTCCTCCTTCTCCTCCTCCTCCTCCTCCTCTCCATCCGCCTCCTCCACTTCCTCTCCCTCCTCCCCCTTCACCTCCTCGCCCCCATCATGCGCTCTCTGCTGCTGCTGCTGCTCCTCCTCCTCCTCTTCCCTCCTCCTCCTCCTCTCCTCCTCCTCCTCGCTCCCAACCTCCCACTCCACCTCATCCTCACCCTTATCCGCTCTCTCCTTCTCCTCCTGCTCCTGCTCCTGCTCCTGCTCCTGCTCCGACTGCTCCTGCTGCTGCTGCTGCTGCTGCTGCTGCTGCTGCTGCTGCTGTTGCTCCTGCTCCTGCTCCTGCTCCTGCTCCCCTTCCTCCTCCTCCTCCTCCTCCTCCTCCTCCTCCTCCTCCTCCTCCCCTCTCCTCCAGTCAGGCCCCCTGCCAGCCCCCCGAAGCCAAAGCTGGCGGCACCCATCGCACCCGCCCGCCGCGCCGCCCTTCTCGCCGCCCCACGCGGAGCCGCCTCGGCGGTGGGGGGACGCGGGCCTCCTTGACAGACCGAGCAGATCACGCCGGCCAGTCTTGCGGAGAGGAGCTGGGGTGCCGCGGAAGAAGAGTCCCCGACGGCCTCCTGCCCTCTGGCCCCGCGCCTCGTCGACAACGGTGTCGAGGATCGCGCGGCCGAGGAACAGACGCTCCCGACGAGGAGACGCGGAGGATGAGGATGAGGAGGAAGAGGAGGAAGAGGAGGAGGAGGAGGAGGAGGAGGAGCAAAGTGGGCCCGTGGGCCCCTGCCACTTGCCCCCAAGACGACGTACCCCAAGTGGGGTGTCGCAGCGGCCACGGTTCCAGCCACGGTTGGCGCCAACAACGCAGCTCCCGGGAGTCCCGTGGTGCGACCTGGGGACCCCTTCTCCAGGGTACGACTCTTCTGGGGTACGCTTGGTCTCCCCTGTCGGGAGAGCGGGCGGGGAGGAGGGCTGGAGGAGAAGAGGAAGCTCCCGTGGCCACAAGGGGACGCCTTCTCCCACACTGCCGAGCACGCGCGGGGGCGGTGGCCGAGCCCCTCAGGCACATTTGTCCCCAAGCATGCTGCAGTGCTTGCACGCGCAGGGGCGCCTTAAACTAAGGCGACACGAGGCAACACCGTCAGGACAATGACGTGGACGATAACGAAGACGACGAAGATGACGGTGTTTTCTTCTTCTTCTTCTTCTTAGTCTTCTTCTTCTTCTTCACCAGCTAGCGCATGGGAACCAACATCGACTGGCCGCGAGATGCATCTCGATCCAGAGTTCCGTGGTCGCACGACGTCTTCGCCAGAAAACCAGCACGTCCGAGAGCTCTGCCCTGAACCGAGGATCGGGCCAGACGAAAGAAAGGGGCGCGAATCAGGGGGGTTCGGGAATCAGCTCACTGAAGGGACCCTGGGACACACACACACACATAAATACACACAAAGAAAAGGATCCCCCATGCTTTCCAATATTTTCGGGGTTTCTGTCTTCCCCCCACTGCCCATGTTTTCCTACCTTTTCTGGGGGATCGACGATTCCTTGTGCCTGTGTGTGTCTTCCCTCCTGACTCGCGTCGATGGTATTCCGGCGCCTCGCGGCGCCTCGCGGCGCAGCTGCCTCGAGAGGACCGCGCTCCCGGCGGCGGGGCCCGAGCCCGCTGCGTGCCGCAGGTGCCACGCCCGCTCCCGCCCCCCCCTCGCGGAGCAGGGCGAGCTGAGACCGGGTCGGGCGGAAGGGGGGGATAGCAGAGGGGGGGGTTGAGAATCAGCTCACGTAGCTGATTTTCCCGGCGCCTCCCGGCGCCGGAGGCGGCCATGTATCGAGGGATGGGCCCCTGCATGCAGCAAATTTTGTACCCCCCCCCTTCCCAATCCCCCCCTTTCGCCCGGCCCGATAAGACAACGGCAACTCCAAATCTCGGGGGCCCCCCAAACGGTGTGGTGACCACACCGTGCGGTGAGTCGCTGGGGCTTCGGGGTCGCCGCACGGTTTCGGGACTCGGGTCGTCCTCCGAGGATGTCTCGGGCGACAGGGGCCTCCGGGGTCCCAAGACCGTGCGGTGACGGACCGTGCGGTGAGGTCTTGGGGGGTTTTGGAGGTCACCGCACGGTCTGTCACCGCACCGTTTCGGGACTCCAAGAAATCGGTCCCTGGACCCCTCCCGGGGTCCGAACGCAGAAGCTGTCCGAACTACCGCTGTCTCGACCCGCGGGGGAGGACCCGTTCCCCCGAGCGGCCCCGGCCCGCTTCCTCCTCCTCGTCGGCCCTCGCCCCGCTGCCTCCTGCCCCCCCCCCGCCCCCTCCTGCACGGTGGCACAGGTCGCTTGACGACGGCCCGGTGTTGCTTCCTCGCCAGCGCAGTGACCCTGCCCAGCCGCCGACGGAAAAAGGTGTCTCGACGGGCGCTCCTCTGGCAGACCTAGGGCTCCCAACTTCGCGCTTCGCGCTGCGCGCTGCGCGAAGCGCGAATAACTTCGCGCTCTCGCGCCGCCCTCCCAAAGGGAGAATAGGAGGACGAGGAGGAGGGGGGAGAAGGAACGAGGACCGCGAAGCGCGAATAACTTCGCGCCCTCGTGGGAGCCCTTGCAGACTCCCACCTTCCGTCCGACTCGAGAGAGCGTCGCCTCGGACCGAGGAAGACGGCGGCGAGCAGACGCTCGCCGCGGCCCGGCCTCGGAGGATGTTAAAAACGCAGGGGACGTTTCTGTTTCCGTTTGGTGATCGACTCTCCGTCGTCGGAGGGTATTCTTCCGTTTCGGGAATCTCGTTCGCGCCGTTTTTCGGTTCGGTCCCGTGTTGTGCCGCCGTCTTTGATCTGTCTTGGGCTGCCGCTTGTTCCCCCGCTCTGGTTGGCCGGAAACTGGAAAGCTGAAAAGGCCCAAGAAACTCCCCCCAGCTTTTCTGGGCTACACGTAATAAGAGCGACCCTGGGCAAGAGGAGTGACCTTTGGTGTGCGGCTTGATGGGGGACGCGGGGTGGCCAAACTCAGGCGCGCAAGCCGCCGCTACCGCCTCGCGCTCAGTGATCGGGGGACCCCATAGGGCCCGCACCAAAGGTCACTCTGGCGAGAGGCCACTCCTACGTGTGGCCGAATTTCTCACATCGACTACGGGCCCGGCGCGGCTGTGCGCGCGAGCCCGTGAGTAGAGGCCTCCCAGATGGGGTCGGAGTAGATGGGGTCGGAGATTCGCGCCGCATCGCCGATACATCGCCGATGCATCGGCGATGCATCGGCGACGTCGCCGAAGCATCGCCGACGCTAGCGTGGAGAAAATCGGGCTCCACATCGAGCCACATCGCCGATGCATCGACGATGCGGCGCGATCCTGCGACCCCATCTGCTCGGACCCCATCTGGAGGCCTAGAGTTTCTCACATCGACTACGGGCCCGACGCGGTTGTGCGCGCGAGCCCGTGAGGCGCCGCTCGGGAGGGGGGGGGCGATGCTTCGGTCTGGGGAGGCTCTTGGGGTCGTAGGAGAGCCCCCAAATGAGACATGGAATGCAGCCAGACGGCTCGCTCCACCAGGTTGCAGCTGCTTCCCTAGAGTCGTTCGTAGTGCAACTCAGCCGTGGGGGTGACAGGGGTGCACACCCAAGGAGTGGAGACAGGTGCTCCTTGGATCTCGATTGTTGCAGACTGTGCTCAAAACCGCGTATGTCTGTGCTGCCCAAGGTCGGTTTTTCGTTATGGAGCATCCGTGAAAACATGATCTCCCACACCTGGCTTCTGATTGGAGGCTACCAGGGGTCCGGACTCTCTCAGGCATGGTGGGACATGCGTCGTGCAGGTCTGGTCGTAGATGTAGCTTGGATCAGTGCATGTGTGGTGCCCACTGTATTGTATAGTCATGCTGCTCCTGTCTCTGATCGCATCCATATGTTACCTACTAGCGGCAGGTGCCACCACCAGTCGCATAATTCCGTTTAGCAGGAGGTCCAAAGTCATGGACAGTTTAGGATATCGGCTGCTAGACAGTACCCAACAGGGATGTGCCGAATGCTGGCGAATGCGATGGCGTCCGTAGCGCGTCGGTTACAGTTTGACAGAGTCGCGAATTTTCCTGAACTCTCAGAGTCCATGGCTCTGTGCTGCATGCCATTGGACCCTGTTCTTGACCAGCATCAGTGGGACAACTTTACCCTGAAGTCGGGCGTGTCCCCCCTACAGGGGGATTTTGGGCGAACAAATAAAACATACTCCAAACATGCCCCCCCAATGGGCAAACATAGTTAACACATCGTCCCCAGACAATATTTTTACTATTTTTGGATTCCCCCGATAGAGGGACACGTCCGACTTAACTTTACCCCTGATGCGATCGGGGAGGTGGCGGAAGTGGTGGATCCTCGTGAATTCCAGTGCGCCGCCCTCCCTGGGCCACGAGGGCCCCCTACTGCATTGCATGATCCCTCGGCGCGACCTTGCGTCCCCATCGGTGGTTGAGAGGCCGGGGAGGGGGGCGGGAGGCGGGAGGAGGCATACTTAGGAGGAGGAGGAGGAGGAGGAGGAGGAGGAGGAGGAGGAGGAGGAGGAGCAGGAGGGGAGGAGGAGGAGGAGAGGAGGAGGAGGAGGAGGAGGAGGAGGAGGGAGGGGGAGGAAGAGGAGGAGTGGGAGGAGGAGGGGAGGGGAGGAGGAGGAGGAGGAGAGGAGGAGGAGGAGGAGGGGACGGGGAGGAGGAGGAGGAGTGGGACGAGGAGGAGGAGGAGGAGGAGGAGGAGGAGGGGAGAGGAGGAGGGGAGGAGGAGGAGGAGGAGGAGGAGGAGGAGGAGGGCAGGGGAGGCGGGAGGTGGAGGGAACAGGCTCCCGACGACGACGACCAGCGGCGGCGGCGGCGGATGGCAGCGGGCGCCGGCGGGGGCGGCGCCGCCTCCCCAGGCGGAGCCCCAGGCGGAGGGGGCGCCGGGGCCCCAGCCTCGCGGGCCATGCGCCGCGCCCGCGGCCGCCTGCGGGGCGGGGCTCTTCCGGGAGGCTTCTCGGGGCCCAGAGGGGCACGGCCACGTCGAGGAGGTGCCTTATCGTCGTAAGAACGGTTTTTTGAAGGCAGATCTGCCTTCAAAAAATGGTCTACTCTGTAAGAACGGTTTTTTGAAGGCAGATCTGCCTTCAAAAAATCGGTTTTTGAAGGCAGATCTGCCTTCAAAAAACCGTTCTTACAGAGGTGCCTTATCGCTCCTCGGCCCGATCGACGAGGTCGGGGGGCGAGGACGACGAGCAGGCGATGACGACCACGACGGGGACGGCGAACGCTTTCGCGTGGATGCGAAGGCTATGGTGGCAAGTTGCTTGCCACGTCTCCCCGCCCCTCTCCACCCACTCGTCGCCTGTTCATGCAGTGCTGGGCCAGAGAGGCTTGCAAGTAACTTTCGGTCTGCGTGATCTCCAGGCCCTTCGTCCCGAGGCTGGATGAGCGTAGGCTGCCGCTACGCCTCGTTCCCGCGAGAGCCGTCTACGCAAGAGGCGCCGCCAACCGAAAGCATGGTGCTCAATCATGGCCCCCGAAACGGGGGCACAACTAAACGGGGGCTTCGGCTTTTCAGTATGCTTCCGTTTAGCATGCCCCCGTCTACGGAAACGAGGACCCTCCAAACAGGGGCAGAGCCAAACGTGGGAGTCGATGTTCCTCGTGCCCCCGTTTGCTGTGACCCCTTCTCCAATCGAGGCGGCCAGGATGTCAGAGTGAGGGGGCCGAACGCTCATTCATTGACCCTGGCAGAAGCGTGATTCCGCTGCGCGGATTCTGCTTGTTTGTTGTTGTTTGTCCGAGTGCTGACTTCCAAAAAGTATTTGTTGTTGATGTCCCCCTCCAGTAATGATGCCGGAGAACAAATCCTTCATAGTCTTTTTCCCTACCTAGGCTCTGCCTAGAAGGGTTCTTACTCTCTTAGCTTAAAGGGGCCGGGCAGTGGAAAGCGCCCCGGGCGGTTCCCCCAGTCCCCTGGGAGCGGTTCCCCCAGTCCCCTGGGAGCTTTAGCTTTAGCTTAGCTTTAGCTTAGCTTTAGCTTAGCTTTAGCTTAGCTTTAGCTTAGCGTTTCGCTTAGCTTTTCGCTTAGCGTTTAGCTTAGCTTTAGCTTAGCTTTAGCTTAGCTGTAGCTTAGCTTGAGCTTAGCTGTAGCTTAGCGTTAGCTTAGCTTTAGCTTAGCTTTAGCTTGGCTTTAGCTTAGCTTTCGCTTAGATTTAGCTTAGCTTTTGCTTAGCTGTTGCTCAGCTTTGGCTTAGCTTTAGCTTAGCTGTAACTTAGCTTTAGCTTAGCTTTAGCTTAGCTGTGGCTTAGCTTTAGCTTAGCTTTAGCTTAGCTTTAGTTTCGCTTTAGCTTAGCGTTACTGTTACTACTAATGCTGCTTTCCTAGGGGTTCCAACTCCTAGGTAGGGTCGCACTGGGATAATTTATGGCTATGAGACTATGGGGCTATTGGGCTATAGGGCTATGGGGCTACGGGGCTATAGGGCTATGGGGCCATAGGTCTATAGGGCTAGAGGTCTAATAGGGTTATGGGGCTCTAGGGCTATAGGGCTGTAGGGCTATAGGGCTGTAGGGCTCTGGGGCTATAGCGGTACAGGGCCATAGGGCTATAGGGCTATTGGGCTATGGGGCTACAGGGCTCTAGGGCCATAGGGCTACAGGGCTCTAAGGCTCTAGGGCTATGGGGCTGTAGGGCTATGCGGCTGTTGGGCTCTAGGGCCATAGGGCTATACGGCTATTGGGCTACAGGGCTGTAGGGCTATGGGGCTCTAGGGCAGTGGGGCTATATGGCTCCAGGGCTCTAGGGGTATAGGGCTCTAGGGCTATAAGGCTATAAGGCTACAGGGCTATAGGGTTATAGGGCAATGGGCAATGGGGCTAGAGGGCTCTAGGGTTCCAAGGCTATGGGGCTATAAAGCACCTGGGCATCCGGGCGGGCCGCGGACATGGGTGACAAACCTCACAGAGGCAAACTCTGATTGGGGAGCATCTGATTTTTTCATTGGAGTGCCCATCCCAGGGCTCGCAACCTTTTTTATCAGAAAGGGAGATAACATTGTGGCTCAGACTAAGCTACTGGCCCTCGATCTACAACAACAAATACTTCCTCACAGCTTATTCCGAATCTAGCTCTCGCTCGGGACGCCCATGCAATTTACAAAGGAATCGCGCTCTCGCGTGAGACGTCCTCGCAATCTATTCAGACGCCGTGCCCTCCCCACTCAGGAATTACGCTCTCGCTTTGGCCTCCCTCACGAAGTCCTTGGGGATCGCGTGACCGCTAGAGACTTCCTTGCGATTCATGCAGGACTCACGCTTCAACGACCCGCCCGCTCAACCCGGCCGTCTGGGCCTGCCCGCCCGATCCGACCGTTAGGTTCCGCCCGCCCGACCCACCTGTCTGGTTCTGTCGCTTGTTCTCCTGCTCCTAACCCCCTCCTGCTAATCTCTCTGGTGCTCCAACCTTCTCCCGCCCCCATGTCCATTCCCCCCTCCCCCCCTTCCCCTGTTTTATTGAACAGCGTCGCAATCCAAAAATCCCATGTTTTAGGGGCTGCGCCAAGTACACGTGATAGATAAGGAAGAAATTACTAGTGAAACATCCTGACCAGTCGATGGTTAGAGTATTAGTGCTATGGATCTTGTGATCGATTGTGGCATCGATTGTGAGATCGACAGTGGATCGCTAGTGAGGACGATAGTAAGATCGATCGTGAGACCGACACTGAAATCGATTCAGTGAGATCGAGAGTGAGATCGATAGCGAGATCGATCGTGAGATCGCTCGTTCGATCTATAGTGAGATCGATTGTGGGATGGATTGTGAGATCGATAGGGAGGTGGGTAATGACATCGATGATGAGACCGATCCATAAGGAGATCGACCAAGAACCCGGGAACCCGGAAACTCTGGAACCTCGCCGCCAACCGAAATCGGTCTGGAACCCAGAACCAGGAACACGGGAACCCGGAACTGGGAGGAACCCGTCGGCCCACCGAAATCAGCTGCCAACTTTCGCCAATTCTTTCAAGATCCGCTAGGACCCTTTCAGTGCAAGCACTGATTGGGAAAACTCCCAAAGGAGGTACGATCAAAGACGAAGCGCGTGGGTATCGAGGGACTGGGATGTACAAGTTGGGTGGCATGCGTGCAGTTAAAAAAAACGGGCAAGTTTAAAGTGATAGGTGATACTGGTTGTTGTTGCTGTTGAGTTCTCATTTCTATAGAATAATAATAACACCAGAGAGAAGCCCCAATCAGTGGATGGTTTTCGCTGAGGAGATCAACCAAGAACCCGGGAACCCATCACCGAAATCGGCCCGGAACCAATATTCGGGAACCCGGGAATCCAGAACCGGGACCCCGGGAACCCAGCCTGCTACCAAAATCGGCGGGAACCTTCCGCCAAATCTTTCAACTTCCGCTAGGACCCCTTCAGTGCAAGCACTGATTGGGGAATCTTGTTGATCCGCCCTGCCAAGTAACCATTGTATTGTTTCAAGTCACGTGCTTCTCCCATGACCCGCACCCTGTTTACCACAACAGCGGCTCCCACCCGATACTTCCGCATAATCGATTCCCAAATCACACCCTCGCGCGGGACTATACCTCACCATGTCTGCCGGAATCGCGCTCTCGCGCGGGACTTCCTCGCCATGTGTTCAGACGCTTCTCGCCCTCGGCGCTCAGGAATCACGCTTCTCACGGTGGATGCCCTTGCGATTCACATTGGGGATCGCGCTGTCGCCCCAAAAACTTCTTCCCGATTCTCATGCAGGACGCGCGCTTCAGCAACCCGCCTGCCTCCCTTTGTCCCTTCATTCCATCCGTCCCATCTTCCCCTGCCTTAGGGGCAACACGAAATACACGTTGCAGATAGGAAAAAATCTACCCCTTGATGGGGTACGATCGAAGACGGAGAGGGCGGGTATCGAGGGTTTGGAATATACATGTTAGATGGCGCGCGAGCAGATCACAGCGAACAGTCTTAAACTATTGTTGCTGTCGCTGCTGCTGCTGATGTTGTGTTTCCATTTTTGAGCACTCATGATTGTTGATCCCCTCACCGGTGCACGTACTGTTTTTCAACTAAAATGCCCCCCATCGGGGATTGCATCCCGTTTTTATCAGGGAAGGTCTTCTTGCTCCAACTGTATTGTTGGACCCCGATCTACATTAACAATGGTTCCCGCATGATACTTCCTCACAATGTATTCCAAAACCGCGCTCTCGCGCGGGCTTTCCTCACAATTGATACAGGAATCGCGCTTTCGCGCGAGATGTCTTCACGATTTCTTCAAATGCGGCGCCCTCGACACTCAGCAATCATACTCTTGCTTTGGCCTTTTCTCACGGTTTCCTTGGGAATCGCGCTATCGCTCGAGACGTCCTCGCGACTCATGCAGGACTCACGCTTCAGAAACTCGCCTGATCGACCTGGCCGCCTGGGCCCGCCTTCCCGACCCGCCCGCTAGGGTCTCCCCGCTCGATTTCCCCGTCTGGTTCTGTCACGTGCTTTCTGCTCCTGGCCATCCTCCTGCTAATCTCTCTCGTGCTCCATCCTTCTTCCTTCACCTTCCATCCGTCCTCTGTTCCGCTGTTGTAGGGGCTGCGCTAAATGCACGTGGCAGCTAAGGAAGATATACCCCCAAGGGGGTACGATCGAAGACGAAGAGGACGGGCACCGAGGGTTTGAGTATACGCGGTAAGTGGCACGCGAGCAGATCGGAGCGAACAGTCTTAACTGATTAATTACTGTTGCTGTTGCTGCTGCTTCTGTTGTTGCTGTTGCTGCTGTTGTTGTTTTTGCTGTTGTTCTTGTTGTGAAGCTCTCTTTCTTGAGCCCACCAGCCCTTCAGGGCGTAGGTGGTCTAAGGTGTTTTGTCTTTCATCTGCCCTCTTCCCCTTCGGGAAGGGTTTATCACTCTTCCCTATTAATAAACACCCCCTCCCCCAGGCGACTGGGGACCAACCCGAGTCCA